GGACAATTTTCTCATCCATTCCCTCCTCCTTTTCTTTCTCTCTTTAAAAAATGATGTCTACTAGAGCACCAAGAGGTTTTTCACTCTGTTGCTCTCTCAACAGCAGCTGTTGCATGGGGAAGTCTGAGAAGTGGGGAAGGCTAATGGTGTAGCATTTGATTAACAATAGTTATGCAGGAAATCGATACGTTGACTACTTTTAACATCAGGCAAAGGAAGGATCAAACCCAGTTCATATTCAATTACATATGGCAGACTTTTCTAATTTCAGAGTCCTTTATAGCCTCTGATATTTCACTGTTTTTTTTTTTTTGTTTTGTTTTATATTGTTCTCTTTCAGTTTTCCACCTTTGTGGTATCATGGGATTTTCTGGTTGTATTTTTTTTTTGTTAACTGTATGATTGTACCGTCAAGAAATACATTCAGTGAGCTTTCATGTTGACCCTGGGAGCCTACAGTGTTCTGCTTGTGTGTTGGCATTGCCTTGTTGAAAACAATGGAAGAACTAAAGGTCTGGGTTTTATGCATAACACAGTATAATTCCCTATTCACAAGCTAAATTCTTTTTTGTACAATTTGTAACATTTTTTTCATTACTTGGGCTAGTTACATCTTAGGGTGAATCAGTCTAAACAGACTCTAAATTAAAATAGTTGGGTGATCTGAGCTCAAGGTCTGTTCCAATGCAGTTTTCCTACAGCTTGGAAGAAAATAGCCAATATAGCTGCTATAGAAATAGGTGATGATTCTTTCTCTTTCTGTCTGTCTTTTTTCCAGGGAACTGAGTAGATGAATATACATTAAAATTTTAATTTTCTGGGTAATTAGGAGAAGTAGATTGTATAAGGTGAAAAGGAAAGTCAATAAACTATGTGGCCCTGGATAGATTATGGTAAGAGTCAGGATGTCACTGTGAGGTCAGAAATTCTTTAAATTAGAAGCATTATTTTAGTCTCTAATTTGATCCATATACCAGAATCAAGTGCTTTTGATTCATAAATCTGTAAGAATATTTCAGTGGGCCTGTGAACTACACAAAAGGCACAAGCATACTGGCAAGAGGCTTGCTTGTCTTTAAGCCTTTTCTTGCCGCCTTCAAAATAATCCATGGTATTCTTGCAGGTTGAGAAGATTCAGAGAAGCTTCAAAATCTCTGAATTAGACAAAATGTTGTATTTTGTAAACAGAGAACAAGCGAACTCCGAGTTGAATTGAACTGGGTAAATTATCAGCTGCTTTGATTAAGAGGAGGTGAAACACCCGGTACATTGGGCTTGGAACTACTGAGTGTAGATCAATGGCAGCTCTGACCCTCCAGTTTTTCCTTCTTTGCATTGGAGAAAAATGCATATTGAATGAGAAGGTGCACACCCTCCTCCCTTGGTGGCCACCACTATGTAGCTAAATATTTGCTTTTTAAATTCAGGGGTGGAGAAACAAGCTTATCTCACAAAGGTTCACCCCACCCTCTGCTTGGCCTCTCTTCTTGGCAAGCCTTCCAGCAGCAGCTGGCTGACTGTTTTTCTTCTGCAATTGTGTTCATGACATTTCCTGCAACTAGCTTTTCCTGAGGGTTTCCAGCAGCCCTTTTAGCCCCCCACCCCCTTTTTTTTGGCCTCTTCACCAACTAACTATGGCCTTGTGCCTAGTTCCCAGCAGTGTAAGTAGTACTGCATCCCCATCACACATCCATGTATATCCTTTGTATGCTCTCAACACACACATGAGGTTCTGTGGTTTGCTTGTAAGACTGACTAATTTAGCGAGAGTCAGTGGTTAGTGTTAGGGATGCTGAACAGCCATGATATAAACAGAGACAGTCCTTCCTCAGGATACCTGCTCCGTCAGGCAGACACACACTTTGCCGTGTTTCTCTTTTAACACAATTCTTTTTTGAAGAAGCTTCATGTACCCGTCTCCATGCAGGAGGACTGATAGAAAGACAATAGATTAGGGAGAGTTAATGCACAAATCCTGGCTTACTTAACATGCTGCTATTCTCCCTCTCCAGACTACTGAAAGCTGCATAAACTGTCCTTTCATAGGCTTTTATAAACACTCAAGTGACTTTAATCGTTTAGAGTAAAAGCCTACTTGTATATTAAGCTTTCTGTTATCGATGTCATTAAATCAATATCCTCAATGCTGCAGGATCCAAGTCACATATAAGTTTGTCACACACAGTTTAACATAAGCAATGCAGTATTGAGGTACAGTCAGTTCATTTTTTTCATAGATTGGAGAGTACTTTGAAGTAGGGCTGTTGACGATCAGAGAGCGTTTGTAGTTCTTTATAGCCAGTTTCTTAAATGTTTGGGGGCTGTCTGTTCTAATGATGGTTTTGTTGCAGAACTTTAATGGAGTCTGAGAAGATGAACTTTTTTTTTAATGCAGTTATCATAAATGGCACTGAAAAGCCTTGTGAGCCCTATGTTGTCTGTATTAAAACATGGGAGATATTCTTTAAGAGAAGTAAATAGGCAAATTGGTAAGAACCCTTCTTGTAAACTATTATTTATCTGTTCTTTTTCCATGTGGGTACGCACACAGTTCTGGACAGCTCAGAGACTCTGTAGCCTCACTTAGTGTAGTCCTTTGTCTAATGAGTGACATCTGTGTTTAAAGATGGAGAAAAATAATAATTTGTCCCTTGCCAGAGATACTTAATTGAGGGTAGAACATACATCTGGGATTTATTTGTGTAAAAAGATACACAACTGAAGTACTTTGTCTTCTTCCAACCTGACCCTGTGATGCCCTTTCCATTTAGCATATTAAGAATCAAGATTCATCTAGAGATATCTTACAAATCAGAAATGACAGCTGTTATTACAGCAGATCTTTCTCTCTGTTTTTTTTTTAGCCACTCTTCATCTATCACAGACATGAAGTAATTTGTAATACAAACTGACTATAGATTCTTTCAATTGCTTATTTCAGGAAAGCTATAGACATGATGGACATAACATTATACAGCATAATAGGCAAACATTATGCTACATGCCTTGCTGCTGGTAAAGCGGAATGAACTCTGCCAACAAAACTAAATTAACTGAAGTTGAAGAAGGCAGTTTTCCAGTTGTGGGTTATGGATCATTGATCTTCTGCAGTTTCTGAACTAGCACTCTTCAAGAATACTCTGAGCAGCAAGAGATGGGATTAAAGGAAAGAAGCAGTTTCTGAAAGGCACTCCTATTTCATAGATGGTTTGTGATTTGGAAGGTGTTTACTGCTGCTGCTGGTAAAGGCGAGACTTGTGGTGGGCACCTTCTGAAAGGAATGGGAAGTTCAGAATAGATGGATCTAGCAGGGAACGTACCAGCTTGATTCTGAAGTCTTGCATGGGGCCGTCACAGGGCAGCCAGCAAATGAGGAAGGGCTTTGACAGAGAAAGGACTGCTCTGTATTAGTTAACCTCATACACTTGGTTTCACTACATCTCTCTCACCACGGCTAGAAAGAAAGTGACATGAACTTTCTTAGGGGTTATATCAAGGAGGTATTTCTTGGTGATGAGGGATGTGAATCTTGTCCATTATCACTTCCCAGTGTGGCACACCTGGAAGAGTGTGAGGTTTTACCATTTGCTTTGCTTCCCTTGTGAAAAAAAGCTACAGGATATCCCCAGAGTCAAAGGGAAAATAGAGACCCACGGCACGTTAGTGGCAGTCTTTCCACAAAGCTCTGCTACTTCTTTGCTCTCCACAAAGCTGCAGTTTCAGCTGTTTCTATGATGAAGACTTAGGGAAAACAGGGTGAGTCAAGGAACTAGAAATTTTGTCTGGGGATATTGCTCAAGCAGATAAGAAAATTCCATTTATGTTATCCGGAGATGTGAGTTAAGAAGTAGTAAATGGCCTTATCTATAGCATAGCTACTTGAAGTGTGTGGAAATCCAGTATGAACCCGTGAATGTCCTGGGTTAGGCAGAAATGCTTTGTTATCACTAGCAAGGAGGGAACTGTGCTACCTTGTGCCTGACACTCGTTGGACTTGTGGGAGAAAAGGAAAATTTCACCGGGGACTTCCTGTACTTGGTTGAGTTTCAGCATGATGAGGCAGTGGGTTTTTTTCCTTCTCTCTCTAAAACAAGGAGAGCAATACTTGGTTATCTTTCATCTTGACAGTAGAATTATGTTGCAATAATCTGAGGGCTGTTAATTCACCAGTGATTGGTTTATGTTGAAGACTTTCGTAATTAAAAAATTGCCTTAAGGGACTAACATAATGTGGACTTCAGGGATTTATGTAGTAGAAAGGGTTCGAACACATCCTGGAAATCCTCTAGTTTGCATATTTTGTCTATTACAAGCTATTACTTCACTCCAATATAATTTGAATTATTTTGTCATGAAAGTGTTGTAACAGAGTGGAGAATGGGGTATCGAAGCTTCCTGAACAAGGAGATTGAGTTAGTGGCTAAATCTGTTTATGGAAGATAGAAATTATGTCATTATAATGCTAAGGTGTGTTAAAATATAATCTTGAATTATGGCATTGCTCTTTCAGTTTGATTGTATGTTTTAAAATAATCACTACTGTGGAAAGAAAATGTCTGTGAGTTGGTCATTGTAACACGCATATTTCAATGTAATTAATCCTAAAATGTGAGATTTTTATTACCCAGTGAGAACAAACCTAACAAAGCCAAATACATGAAGAATAATGCCCCATTCCTGTGAAAATTAACACATATATTTGTGCTTATATACAATAAATAATCCTGGTTTGCTGTTTACTTAAATGGGACACAGATTTCTCACTCAAAGTGACACGAATTTAATGCCAGTGTGTAAAATTAAGACTGAATACCAGCCTTTGCACATTTTGTGTTTTTTGTAAAGCTGAAAAGACTGACAAAATTTGCTTTCAGTTATGGTGTATTAATCTAGATCAAGTCTGTGGAAGTTGTTATAGCAATGAGAATTTAAAGTAGCCGAGTAGCAGAATGTAGTCCTTTTTAACCATTCCTTCAGGGTCTATATTTTCTTTCTTTCAGACTCCCAGACAATACAGCCAAGCACTAAATAAGAGTAACAGAGTTCATCTTTACTGTGCATTTCTGGACTATAGGTATGTTACTTAATTTCCAATTCTGTAACTTGGTTTAGTGAAATTACAGTTAGTTTGTGATGTTATATATTACCTACATTCTTTTTGTTCTCTTTCGTTCACGGAAATAGTTAAAGAAATAGAGCCACTGGCTTTCAAAACCACAATCTGATAGTAGCTTCTTACTGTAAGTAGGAGACTTGGTATTCACAGACCCTGTGTTAGGTGGGTAATTGAGAGACTGAGAAATTTTGGAATCAAAACTGCAGACCAATACAAATCCAGCTTATCTTGGTTTATGAACACGTCCACTTGGGCAGATGCTTGGATGTTTTAAGATGGCAAGCCTCCAGCAGAGCCATTATTTTCACTGGATCTGTGTCTGTGCCACAGCATCATGTGAAATGAGTGTTTCAGAGCTGTGAATTTTGGCCAGTGCATGGAAGCGTGAAATACTATGCCCCTGAATGCAAATTAGAATAAAAGAGAGATAAACATCACCTTAAATTCCACTCAGGAAAGAGGAACTATGGAAAAGCAGTAGCTTTTGGTTTTTGGTTTTTTTTTTTTTGTTAGCCCTGAATGTGTTTAATCTCTTTTTGTTTCCAGATATGCTGCTTTAACTGATTTAATTGAGAAGGAATGCAAATAGTGAATTTTGAATATCATAGGGATTAACATTTTTTGAGCCATAATGGTGTAAGCCTAATTGCTGTAGCAGTGGCCTGCAATGCTGTGGTCCCTCCTCTCCAGCATGCGCATGCAAGGTCCCTGTAATTGTTTTACTGAAGTTTTGTTTCAAGTATGTTGAACTGTCCCAGCTGTTGGCAGTTACTTGTTGTTATGGTTACTCACAAATTACAATAAATCAGAAACAGATTTTACTGAAGTGAATTAATATGGTTGGGGCTTTGTTCCTGTACTGTTTTCCATTGAGGCTTGAGCCCTTGAGGCTTTGCCTTAGGATAGAAACTGAAATATGAAATCTGTCCTTCCAAATGAGTTTTATTTGTGTCAAGATGGCCCTATTCCCTAGTGCATGGCAGTTAAAGAATAAGCAGTTGGTTTCTGACCTATGACAGACTCTCTTTGAAAACTTAAGGAGGTCCCAAAGGGCAAAAGAAGGATGAGGTAATACCTGTCATTAAAATAAGCACCAAGAAAAATACAGATCACTCAATCTAGCTTCAGGACCCAGAATAATATCAAAAGTAATAAATGGTTAAGAAGCAGGCAATTTAGGTGGGTGACCTACAGTGCTTGAGCCCATGGAGCACACGCCTAGATGCATGCCTCTGCCTTCTATGTCCCCCACACCCCTGCAGGGCCGTGATAGCGCAGAGGGGTCTGGGTTTCCCTGGCTCCAAGGAAAAGCAGACTCATGAGGATCACTTTCCTACACAGCCCTGGGACCTGGCCACACAGCCAGCCTAGCCATATCCTTAGAGGAGCTCCTGAGGATAAAGTGACAAAACCCAGCTGACATTGATGGCTCGCTAGAAATCTTGCTCAGCCTGAATTACTTACTTTGACAGGACAAGTGGCACAGTGGATAAGGGTGAGGCAGCAGATAGAATTCACTAACTTTTTTGACTTCTGCAAGATTATTGACTTGTCTGATACTATAGCTTTCAGAATATAGAAATTTGTGTCTAGGTGAAATGCCATAAATGGGTTGCACAACGTAAAGAAGAAATGTCATTATTCATTGGCCATACCTGGGAAGAAATCTCAGGCAACATTCATGAGGGGCCTGATCTGGGCCATGTTCCAGTCAGGATTTTCCTTAACTCCTTTCATGGTGGAACTGGGAAGGCACTATCAGTGTTTGCGGATGCTCCAGCCTGAGATGGCTTTCAAACCTTTGTATCTCTTGTACAGTACAAATACATGTCAAATTAACCTGCACAAGATGCATTTTGATAGAGATTATGTTCCCTTTTTGTGTGCTTTGCAGCAATGGAACTGGTGTTTGGTCTAATGAAGGTTGTGTGCGGGAGAGTGGGGACCTCAACTACTCAGTGTGTCTTTGTAACCACCTCACTAACTTCGCCATTCTGATGCAAGTGGTGCCTCTGAAGGTGAGATTAAACAAAAGAGTAAATATATCTGCTAAAAATGAAGAATAAATGCATCAGTTCTATCATCACACTCAGTAACTGATTGGAACTGGGCTCATTTTTGCCCAACTTGGGTTGATTCCACATCTTGCTTTCTGGGATGATGTTTTAATACTTCTCGACTATATTTTTTAAAACTTTGGGGAACTGAAATGAAGCATGAAATGAAACATGTCTCTTGTAGGTGGGAATTCTCTTTACTTTGTTCTCACACTTTTGGCGTGATATCTTAAAGGCAGGAATAGCACTGGAGGAGATCGTACAGGTGACAATACAGGGGAATTTGTAACTTTTTGGTGATGAGAGTGGGCCCATGTGGAGTCTCAGGTCATGTTGCTGCTAACAAGCCAGTGAAGGATGTAATCCTTTCAGTGTGCTTCAGTTGCAGTTCCTCTAGTTTGGCTGTTATTTAGTTCCTCTCTGAGTTCATCAGAAAATCTCATCCCAAACTTTTGACCAAGATATACCCTTAAAATTGACTGTTTAGGATTATCTTTTTGTACTATTTTTTTTTTAACCAGTATAAAATATGAAGTTGAGATGTAGGCAAAGACAAGCTTCCTGACTTTTGAGCTCTACAAGCGGTTTGTGCTCAGTTACAAATTCGTAAAACATGTGCTAAGTATTGGCTTCACATGTCTAAGCAGTAGAGCCTGTTGAATCAGCTAGACTATTGGAAACATCTCCTAGGTGTCCTTGGAACCCTGCTAAGTATGTGTTAAAATGCTGGTGATTTTAAACACATATATATGTTTATTCACCATGTTCTGAAACTCATGAGCCAAGGTTCAAAGGGCCCATATAAATCACTCATTGGAATAGTAGATTGTCAGTGCTCTAAGAAATTGTTGCAATGATGTTACATTCAGTCTTGAACTTCTGTATATTTTATTTTTCTTTTCTTTTCATAAATGGTGTTCACAGATCATATGAGACAAGGAAAAGAGCGGGTGGGAGTATGCAGTTGCCCACATTTGAACAGTTCTGTTTATATAGCTGTTATATATCTGTGGCTCTATAAATAGAATTGGATGAAATTTTTCCACATGAGCACTGTTTTTGACAGAACGTTTATTTTTTGTCTAGAGTCTGTTTCTTACAAAAAGGGCTCTGCTTTTCATGGAAAGTGTAAATAAATGATTGGAAATTGATTGTTTGAAAACTGGAGAGCTTTTCATCAAAAGCTGTATTTTGGTATAAAAAAAGTGACTTAATTTTTCATGGGAATTCTACTTGGAGTGCTTTGTACTTCTGTTCTCCTGTGGAAAGTATCATTTCTCTTTCTCCCATTGTACTGATAAATGCATCTCTCAGGGTAGCCCAAGCAGGCAGACATCCTGTCCTAGGGCACCGTAACAGCCTTTAACCTAATGACTGGTCAGCAGAACAGTACAACCAGGTATGAACAGTTCTACCAACCCTTGCAGAAAGGCAAGCAGATGCACAGAAAAAAATAAAGAGGGGGATATTGACAATTCTAATAAGATTGACAATTCTTCTAATAAGATATTGGAAATTCTAATAGTACAGACCAGTATGTGTGCAGCAGCTTCAGACCTGGGAGAACATCCCTAGGGAGAACACTGCTGATGTGGAAATCCATGAACTCTTGAGACCAGTTCAGTGTGATAAATGTTCTGGTTGTCTCAGCTCCTTTTCAGGAGACTGATTTTCTTTTTTGCTAAAAAAACCAACCCCAAAACAGTGAAAAACCCCGTAAGCTTTCCGTTCACAAGACATTGCAGTGTTTTAAGGAGCTTGCTGTTCACAGCTGGAGAGTACAGCATACTCTGAGCTCAGACAAAGCCAAGGTGCCTCTAAGCAGCAAACATTGACAATAGGTGACCTTCCTCGGGAAGTAACTTGTCACGTAAATACTTGTGGCGAGCATTATATGATAACTATTCGTCAAGAATGGTAACTTTTTCTTCTGAGAAAAAGTTTTCTTCTTTCTTTTGTGCTAAATTCGAGCAAGAATCTCCTTGCTGAACTCCTTCTCTTTGTTCCTTCACACGGTTAAGTCTAGCTTTTCCCACTTACAGAACAATAGCATGATCTAGACCTTGTCAGCTTTGACTGCTGTGAACCTGCCCCAGGGCTGCCCTTCCTGCCAGTAGTGCTCCAGTTCATTTTCATACCTTCCCCAATATCCAGCAGATATGCACAGTCTGTGCCTTTCTTGTGGGCATAAAGGCACAAATTGTTTTGTTTCAAGATTCTTTATCATTGCAAGATTCTTTATCATTGCAAAGAATCTCAAGATTCTTTATCACTGCAATTTTATTATAAGGTACAGCACTATGTCAGTAATTTATGCACCTGGCTTGGGGAGGAATTAGTGTCTCACATGGATTTCATTCTCTTGAATACTCGAAGTACTGTGGGATGAGGAATGCTGACAAATTGTTAGACATTTATGGAGCAGACTGTGAGGTGGGTCTAATTTCCAGGGAGCATAGAAATGCAAGAAAGTTCTTAGGAACAAGCTGCGAGTTCTTGATTTTCCTTCTTGATCTTTACTCAAAACAGGTTAGATTGATTCAGTCAGTATTCTGCTATATGCCAGCTGGAAGTAATCTCCGGAGACTGAAATCTGCTGAGATGAAAAAGCAATTTTATTCCAATATTTTCAGAGAAAGAAATTGAAAGAGAGAGGTCATAAAGAGAAATTTTAAATTCTGGAATTTTAATTTAAATGTAACAAAATGAACCTTCACTCTGATATCTGTGTGCTATACAGCAGTGTAGGAAGAAAAAGAACTATGAATGCTATGAATAAGCTAAAATCGAGCTTGGATTACAAGTGTAGTTGAATACTACTCCAGATTTTATATGAGTTTCAGCAAGAGCCTGAATGCACTGAAGTCGCGGTGATTGTGAAAGAACTGTATGAACAAAACTGCTGATTAGCTTGAGATGCATGTATGCAGTTTAGCTGCTTTCAGTGATGCAGGGGATTAGCAGTTGTAACAAGTTTATTTCAGGAATGAAGTAACCAGCTTGGAAAAACTTAGAGCCATGTGGTGCTCAGATGTCAACCTGGCACTGACCTGTTCACCCGCTGATCAATTG